TTTTTGTCGCGATTAGGCCCGGTAGGGACCGGTTAAGGCCCGGCCCGGGACCGAATTTTGGCCACCTCTAGATAAGAGTATGATGATGTTGTTTAGCCACACCCTTTTAAGCCCACGGTGCCGCCATCCAATATGTAAGGGCTATTCACCCAAATGCTTACACGGTAAGTATTTACCAGTAAATTCAACATTACCACTCACCTTATTGGATAAGATTATATTCCATCACCTTATTGGATAAGATTCTATTCCATCAAAACATCAATGTACGCAACAATTTACCCAATAAATGCTAATCAGGTGAAAGTCATCACTCTCACATACTGGGATAAGACTCTCGGTCCCTGTCATCGCTCTTACCAAATAAGATTCTTGGTCGTTAACATGTTAATCTAGCAAGATAAATGACCCGGTAAGCGTTTATCAGGAAAGCGTTTAGTGAACAGCCCCGTAGTCCCGGTAAGGATGAAAAGCCTCGGTTACTTGGTAGGCCCTTACCCAAACCAAACCATGATTTTCAAAGCAACATATCAAAAGTCACACTACCTGGTGATCACTTAACAATTTGTATTGGTAAACGGCCCTTGCTTTAAAACATGATATCTATGATCCACGACCAAACTAACGTAAAATCAGATTAATCTGCAACCTTTTTTGCAAACCAAGTTGGGGATGAATACAAAAACACACAAAGGCCAAGTAGACAGCAACATATTACACGAGAAATTTGCATGATTAGAGGGCATTCTTTCAAGGCATCAAGCAACATGTAAATGACCGTTTCTCTTGAAAAAATAAAGCTTAAACGACAAGGTCTCCAACATAGAACCAAAAGCAAACATTACAGTGGGAAGAAAGAAATAACGAACCAATAACCAATTTTTAGGTTTCGCTGTGAACAGATTATGGAAATTGATGGAAACATATGCAGATGCAAGTTGTACTTCCAGGGACCATATATTAAATAAGTGATAGTTTCTCTATTTCCTCTTACCTCCTGTGCCAATGGTTAACAACTCAAAGCTCCGAAGAGCATCATCACGACCACCTCTTGAGGCTACAGGACGCGTGAAAGACGATGACTTGGACTCAAATCCAGGTTGAGAGTGAAGTCTTTGGGTGGTTGATATGCGACCACTGCCTGAGCCCAGCCGCTTGGTTCGACCATCACTTGGCTCACCAGATGAGCTTGGCCGGCTGCTTGACACGACTGCTCGCTTTGAAGTACTACCATTCCGTGAAATGCGACCTCTGTCACCATCACCATGCTGAATTTGCAAATATAAACAAACCCGAGTACAGGATCAGAAAATTACAACATAAAATAACATGTTTGGTACATGGGACAAAATGAGATGACACAACAAAAACTTGTTGTCCCGCATTTGACACAGCATTAGACTGGTGGGACGGGGCGGGACTGATTGGGGCAAAATTCACGATCACTAAGTAACCAAACTGGGATAACAAATTAAAACCCTAAAACCTTGCACAACTTTTTCACCCACCTACCTCTCTCGTCTGTCCAGTCCAGTTTACATACCAAACACACCCGAAATATACAACACTTCAGGCTCGTCAATTTATAAAAAGCAGTTCCAAAAAAACTCAACCTTCTATTATAAACTGTCACAACTCACAAATATATGCAAAGTTTCCTTTTCTTGGTAACTTCTAAATCTTAGTTCACTGTCTTGCCGACTACACCATCCGTCTAAAATACAAGCGTCCGTATTTCTATTTTATTGTCCCAATATAAGTGTCTACTTTCCAAATCTACCCTTAATTATAAGATAAGGAAATTTATTACTCCCTCTATTATTAAGGGTACGATTGTCATTTAATTAATTAAAAACTGGAATAGTTGCATATTTCTATATCTGCCTTTTTCATCATGGAGAATTATTTCGGGACAGAGGGAGTAATATGGAAAATACTTTTGAATTTGGACCAGGGGTTTTATTTGTTTTGATCTTCCTACGGGACATTGAACCAACATTCAAACATTTCCTTTTCATAACTACATTTGAAATTGAAACGAGTACACAATAACTTCTCTTTTCTTTTTTATCTCCGTGGGAGGACAGTGCATCAAATACGTTGTGAAACTCAGCGACTTAATCAGAAGTTTCTTCTATGACTTAAACAGGGTTAGTTCAGAAACAAGATCAAGGAAAAAAAGTAGAGGGCCCTACGATTCTCAACTCACCACATCCTTAGACGATGTTACATGCTCTGAAGATCTGTGCCTCGGATGATCATTATGCAAACCGCTACCAGAACCATTCCGTCTAGTAAGTGCCTCGACTGCACCTGAGAATCTATCTCGAACCTCTTGTCTCACTGAAACAAACAGATGGTAATTAAAATTTGCATCCCCATTGTAGTTGATCGATATCAATATTCAAAATGGCAAAAGAAAAGTAAATGGTCTTTGCATAAAACTATGATCAATTAATGTTGTTAACAACAATCCGTAAGCAAGACAGGCCTACGTACATCCAAAAACTTGACTTTCGAGTGGGGATATACTGGGTTCGTTTGGTATAGTTTGAGAATCCCACAATATCATGATCATGCAGTCACAATCAATCATTAAACACAATAAATGATAGAGAATCTTGACTAGGTAGTAGGTACACATCTTATGTATCTTTATAAACGCGTGGTTGAATATATGTTAACAGTAGTAAAGTAATCAAGCATCTGATCTATTAGAAACTCAAAATGCCAAGGTCATTCCTTTGTCACCAGAAGGTAATGGACAGCCTCTATGCAGAAAGAGGAGGAAATTTTGCATAGAAAGACTTACTTCCCAACCCTCATAGACCGGGCAGTTGGGGTTGCCTAAATGCACCTCCATTCAATTTTCTTTTTACCAGAATATATAAGGAAATCAAAAGTTAGTAAAAGAACATTAAAAGAATAAATATGTGTGGAAAATGGAGTGCAGATCTCAACATTAATGATGGATCAGCAAATAATTGTAGAAATTGGTATCTGATAAAAGTCTAGAAACTCTGAAATTGCAAACAACCACGTTCCCAAGTGCTGCTAGAAACAGTAAAAGGAAGATTTATGTGAAAAATCTAAGTCTTGATTCGCTCCTGAACTAGAAACTTCTCCTTTTCAAAGCCAAATATTAATCCGGACTTTCTAATGCAACAGCAGGGAATGTAAAAGAGAGGTCACTGAGAGAACTGGACTTTTAGGGTGCATTTGGTACAGGGAGCAGGATGAAAACATGACTGAGGGGGACAAAAATGCATTTTATAGACTGAGCCACGTTTGGCACGCATTACACTGGCCAGGCATGACTGAGTGGGACAAAAATGCATTTGTATACCATCATAGTAGTTGGAACAGAAATCAAAGGGATGGGCCAAGAAAGGTGAATTACTAAACTAACCATGTCAAATTAAAACCCTAACGCCTTCCACTCTCCCACCACACTCTCGCCCCGTCCTTGTACTAAATGCACCCTTAAGTGTGAGCTACCACTCATGCAGCAACAAGCACCCGCCAAAACTCAAAGGGGCCACCAGCCACCCGAATCAATGTAGCAACCGGTGAGAGTGAGTCCACTGATTGATTTGGTAGTCAAAGCCAAAGACATTTATAAATTAGTGATTTGACATGATAAACACACATCCATACTTCAACTACACCACTTATCAGTAAAAGATGAAAAAACAATTATTGTAAAAATTACTACTCTGCCATACGCAACTTTTAACTTGATTAAAAAACAGACTGCCAACTAATGCTAGACAAACAAACCTGGGGTGGTCCTTTCTGCTCTCTCTGCTGATGGTCCAGGGTTCAATGGAAATTTTGCAGTCGTCTGTTTGTAATAGAGGCATATAAGAGAGAATACTTTTAAAAAATATATAAAAATAGAGAACTAAGAAATATACTGACCCTTCCTCTAGAACTGGAGCCAATTTGGGGATACTTCAATATAGTCCAGTCAAATACATAGTCAAACTGATAACCTGAGACAATTATTATAGCAAACCAAAGAAAGCTTAAAACATGTAATATACATTTGAAGAGAATAAAAGAAAATACGAAAGAAATAAAACTAACTAAATAAAATAACAATGCTGGATATATGGCTTTTAACAATCCCCCCCCCCCCCTCTTTTTTTCTCAACATGAATGTCCATTTGACTAAATAGTAAACATAATGAAGGAAAAAAGAGGTCCTCCAATATTTATTAGATTTAGGAATTTTCAAAATATCTCGAATAAAGCATCTTTACATATGTCAGTGTATTACATAAGAAATAAAATCCAATGTTGCTTTCAATTACCACATCTCCATTATTACTTTGGTTATGTTATATGTTCTCTTTAACAATTCAGTTGAAATACGAAGACAGAAGGGGAAAAAAGCTTATAATCCCTACCTTCTCTAATGAACAGATCACGGAAAAGCCTCTTCAAGTACGAATAATCAGGCTTGTCATCAAATCGCAATGATCGGCAATAATGAAAATATGATATGAATTCGGAAGGATAAGATTTGCAAAGCACCTGCAAGTTAGAAGTCACTTCAATACCGTGGATAAACTAAGCCAGTTTACGAATGCAAAGAAAATAGTCCTCTATAAACAAATCTAAAAAAAATCCAATTACCAAGAACTATTCAAGTATGTTGACTTTCAGTAATACCTCAATGGGAGTAAGCATCTTCTTTTCACTAATTTTATCATACTTCTGCTTCTTAGTGCCAGCTTTCAACCCCTGCCAGGGAAGGCTACAGCAGCATACGCATATACAGATAAGAACCAATTTAGAATTAAGAAGTGAAGTGAAATAAAAAAAGTTTTCCAATCATATATATTCAACCTTCCTCTCAGGAAATACATGAGTACATAACCAAGAGATTCCAGATCATCCCTCCTGCTTTGCTCTGCCATTGACAACCAAAATAACATCACCATAACTAATCAAGTAAAAATATCCTCTCCCTGAAGAATAATTCCAACAAAACGATTTGAAGACCTATTGATTCTAAAAACTGTGAATCATTTGGACCTTTCAATTCGGTCCATATCCGGTGTGGCCGTTAGAGCATTGAGAGGAACAGATAGCGAAATAGTACTGTGAGGGAAGGATGAAAAGAACCCCCATCGAGGAAGTTTTTCAATCACTGACTCAAACCCATGGCCTTTAAATCTAAAGTTTAACATTAACTCACAACTAAACCAGAGCCCATAACGTGCAACCACAGTGCTGTCACTACGGAAGTAGAAGATGCAGTGTGCTTGTCCAATATGTAATTAGGAATGACATTTCTGTACTTGGGATCTGTATTACCAGCTGATAACGATTTTGACAAGAACGCCAGTCATAGGATAAAGTCGTGCTGACAATTATCTGATCTAAGAGTCTCAATGAAGCTGAAAGTTAAATAATATAGGTTGGCAGGGACACTAGATACTGTTTATGAGCTGAATGTTAAAAGCAAAAACACAACCTATACACCAGATGAGTGTAGCAGAAAGGTGAATGCCTAGTTGGATTGTGGCCTCTCAATGAGGGATAGGACCAAAGATATTAAATTTTGAAAAGTTTGGGATGATATTGGTTGGGAATAAGTTGAGTCAACACCTCTAAATCAAGTTAAAATGGTTTGGTCATCCCCAAATTGGACCTTTGAATGCACAATCTAAAAGATTAGATTTGCACCAAGAATAGGTGGCTGATATAGGTTATAGGTGGCTGATATAGGTTATAGTCCTCAAATTTAATAATGATGGTTTAAACTTGTTTAGCCTCCTTGAGTTGTGTTTGTAAAAGGGATTTGCTTTGGTTGGAGCAACTCAAAAAAAAATGTCATAATTAGTTTGTGATGGAAGGAGTTGCTACCTTAAGCTCTTTTACATCACACGGTGAGGATGCACATGCAAGCAAAATTAAAAGCCATTCACAAACAAGTTGAAATAAGTGAGTCCACTCACCAACTCCAAGGTGGGTGTTAACACTGGCATAACGAGCTGTGCCTGTGAGATTTTTGTTTTCCCTGAAGTACAAATCTTTGTCAGCATATATGAAAAAGAATAAATGCAGTTTGAGCATTCCAAAAGAGGCCTATAACTAGAAGCAACATGAAAGACAACCAGAAGTAATGCGCAATTAACTACATTCAAGTTATATTGTTACAGTTGCACAAGCATGCACAAAGAAGAAAACTCGGTCCAGCACATGCCATGTGGAGAACATATCTGCTTGTTGAATGTAGCTTAGCATTCACCCTACATTCTAAACATCCTTCTAATGATTACAGTTGCAATAACTTGGGTGAACCATCTAGCAGCAATAGGTAATTGCATACATAAAATACATACAATATAATTTAAGGTCAAAGATATCTGCTATTGAATTAAACAGGCAAGATCATCCCTTAGCTTGTCACCTATTCTTACTTAATGGTCTCAAGTTAGATCAACATAACAAGACCATTTGATGATCAACCATAAAGACAGAAGCATAATTGGATCTGGTACATGTTACTTATTAACAAATATTATAAATGTAAATAGTTTTCTTTTTAAGTTGTAATGAATTTCTGTTGACTACCTAGAAATTTAGAATTACCAAGATCCATCCCTGCCACAAAAGGTTCAATCAAGGTTTCAAAGAACGGAAACGAGCCTCGAGGTGTTTTCCCTTAGGAGCGTGAGGCGTAAGCCTCAAAAAATAGAACAATGAAATTCTTAAATTCATAAATCCATAACACTTGACGAAAAAACATAAAAAACAGAATATATACTGTATACGTTAAACCAGATTATACATAAAAAAACAAAATATGTGTCTGAAAACAGCATATATACATAAAAAAACAGAATATGTACATTAAAACAACACATATACATTAAAAAAACAGAATATGTACATAAATAAGAATATATATATATATATATAAACAGATTGTACAAAAGAAGGCATAAAAGAACATGCAGATTACTATGTAAAATACACATACAAATTCTTACAAAAATATACATGTTGATACTATTAATATGCAGAAACTTAAATATGCTAACAAAAGAAAAGAGGAGAAATTGCTACAACCAACAGGTACAAGCAGTTGCAGAGATAAGAAGCAATACAAAAGAGAGCAGAGAAGAAGAAGCCGACAATAGTACAAACTACAAAGCTTTGCTTTGTTGATCGATTGACTTTTGGGAGAAGTTTTACATTCAATTTTTTAGTAAAAAAGAAAGAAATTGGGCTTGGGCATGAGCTACATAGAAGAGAGGCCAATGGGTTTCCTTTATAATATTAGGGTTTTCTAATATTCAGTTATTTTCTTAAAAGGGATGAAATTTTCTCAGAGAAAGAAACGCACGCCTTGGCGTCGCCTCGTCGCCCACCTCACACCACCAAGGCGCACGTCCCTACAGGATACCCTGAGGCAGCGCCTCATATTCGCTTTTGGACCGAACCGCCCTGAGGCACGCCGATGCCTCTGGCGTCTTCTAAAACCATGGGTTCAATACATACATTGTAGGACTATTTGATGAATAGTCAGATCTTATGACAACGGAGCATTTTTGCATAGAGAATGTGGAGAAAATATTAGGCATTCTAAAGAAAAAAACATAAACGAATTACGAAAATTAAGTTGCAAATCCATTGGATTTTTCTTTTCATCTTATTTCACAAAAATGCTAAAAAATATATTTTCGACCTTTAGCACAATTACCAGTGAAAACTAGAATGGTTCTTATTAGTAAAACAGTATTTGTGAATATATCCATAAGCAGATATGTGTGTACATAAACATGTGTCCATATGTATAATGATATGTGTGCTTAAATGCAGCCACAAACCGTTATGCCTAGTTACGACATTATTGTCACAAGTTGGAATCTTAAATAATTTTCATAGACTGGAATCATATAGGAAAAAAAAATTACATGTGAGATCCTTATTTTATCCAGTTGGCAGCGTTTGAGATAGAAAACCCACCCATTTGCAGACAGTCATTTTACATGGGTATATCTTTCAAACTGCAAAAGCAATGATATATGTGCAATATTTAGTGGAACAAGTAACCATTAAACACTTTTAAGCTATTCAGTTGTCCATTAATCAAAATCCCAATTCTGTACAAGTAGAGATACTTGCACCTCAACAAGAACTGCTAGAACACACAAAAACATAATGTTTTTCGACCAGAAAAAAAAAGCCTAAGCCTTACAAGCAACTTACTCATACAATACTCAACTAACAAACTAAGCTGGCTAAATAGATATTATAACTTGTTAACCCACATTATCGTCAAATAAAATGATAATAAAGCACACCATGTAGCTCACTACACCAAATTATATACAAAAAAAAAGTTAAAAGAGGACTTGTATTGATATATTTAGAGGGGGAATAAATAAGCTATGCAAATCAATGTGCATGTTTCTCAAAGTGCTCAACAAAACAAAAAGACTAAACTATGTTCTTTGTCCCTGTGGTTTGTTAAAATTTTGCGAATCTCGTCCATGTGCTTTTGAAATTACGGCTTCCATCCATGTAGTTGGCAATTCATTGTTGTTTTCGTCCCCAAGTCTAACTCCGTCAGTGATTTACCGTCAAGTATGTGGGATGAGGACCGTAATTTCAAAAGCACACTAACGAAAAACATAGTTTACTCATATAAAAATAAAGATACCACATCGTAAGCAACAGAAAAAATAATCTCAGTTTCCTGTAAAGATTATTCCGATACCTATATGCTATATGCTTGTGAGTCTGGAGATCCCTATACTTCTTCGCAAGACCATAATCAATAATGTAAACCTGTTGTAAAAATCAAAAGCACCAGAATTATGTTTTATCCTTGTTAGTGGAACTTGTGTTATGCACTATGCTGTTACAGCAGTCAAAACTTGAAATAGCGGCCAGGACTGTGATTTGACATAGCGGTTATCGCGATGGTATAACGGTCCACATATAGCAGTTCATGTAATCATTACAAATTTACAATTATATATACATGTGTGAATAGATGCATAACATAATATATATTCCAAAGAACATAAGAACATGTGAATAGAAGAGATGAGCAGTCAATGTTGGAAGACAATGTTGTTGTGAAGAGAAGATGCAAAATATAGACCTGAATAAACGAGATGAGAGAAAATAGCAAGTTTACACACCAATATTGCAAATGAAAATCAGCCCCCTAGCTCGCAATCCCTTAATAGACTTCTCTAAACCCTTTAAAAGACCAACTTAAAGCCCAACTCCTAATTGTGGTTTTCACACTGCTATTGCAAGTCATAATTGCGGCCCAATTGCAGTGATTAGCACCGATATTAGCAGCACCGATATTAGCAGAACCGCTATTTCTCACCGCTATTTCCCCTAGAACCGCTAATCGCTATAGCACCGCAATGCAAAAGAGAAAGCTCTTCCAATTGAAGAATAAACACTCCAAAATATATAAAACAGGTTCGGGTGTTATAACTGCAAGCATGTCCTGCATGACAGACGAAAACATCACTATGGAAGTGTGAATTCATTTGAAAATAATATGAAGCGAGAACCGCTTCAGGATCCTGAAAAATCTGTTGTTTAACATGGCACAAATTAGGTCATCAATTCCAACTCTTAGGACAGAAACCAAATTTTTTTCCATGTGCAGAATCCAGAAGGTATTAAGTTTAAAGAACCATCCATATAAAGAAGGCATAACAAAATCCATGCTATGGCTAACACAGCAAACCAAATGCGATGCCAAAATAAAATTATGCAAATCATCTAACCACCATTTCTTTGTGCATTCCTTTTCCGCCAAACACCTCTTCATCTTCCTCCTCCCTCCCCCTCCCCTCCTCTACCCGGTCATTCTTGATCCCATCACTGTAGCCCCTCACATATAGGTAACACAATTCCTTTATCAATCTACTTCTTTATGATTTGCAATTTCTTACCAATCCACATATCCTACTCTCCATCTCTCTTCGGTTCTTTGCCACTGCCCAAACTTCTGAAGCTATTGATGTCCTCTAGTCTGCCATTAGCGACCTAGACTACCACCCAGAATATTAGGGACTGCTAAAGACACGAAACAGCAACAAAACTACAAAACAAACACCTCGATCGTCTATGAAAATCACTTACACAAATGAAACAGCATAAACCATAAAATATAAGGCTTTGCAAAAACACAAATTTGCCAACATAAGTGATAAAAGATATCTTAAGCAGAAGCTTTTATATAATTGGACTCTAGCAGTGTTTTTTACTTCTTCCCATGTCCTCTCAGATAATCCAACATATTTCTCAGTTCACATTGAAGTCTCTAAAATTTTAACCATGTTATCCCAGACACACTCACACAGGTGCTCATTAACATAAGGCCACCAAAACAAAACTAATTAAACCCACAGTCTAGGACTACAGAACCCTTTGAAAGTATTCAAGGGCAGGTCCAATGATTCTTGGTAACATCAATCCAGACTATATATATCATGATCAGGTCCTATGATTCTTCCCATAAATTTTGGCTCTATCTTAATTGGCATAACCTCTACTATGTGAACATTCTTCCCCAAAAGTTTAAATCTTCCACTTTCCTGTTTTGGGTTATCAAGTTAAATATGTACTTCCCTCCTATCAAGTTAAATATTAAAGCTTCCACTATTCGCCTAACAAACATGAACGTATGCGTTTTTGTGTTTGTAAGAATTTAGATATCCCATATTCCCATTTTCCATCAGTACCCTCCAACTTAGTATGATATAGAGGACTAATCCATGTTTCCCTCATACTACTTAAATGTGTAAAATAAAAACATTTGTAAAGCACCAACATGATTTACATATTCAAATAACAAGTATTCAACATCTTCCAACAAACAGAGAACCACAGTACTGCAATGTGCTTAAATCATAAAATCAAAAACAAGTACAAAAACTTCAATTAGAAATGGTAAAACTAAAACACAAGAAAAGCATTTGTTGAAACTGAGAAATCCCAAATCTCCAAAGAATCAAACATGAGAAGACCATAGAGTATGTACGAACTATGTAACAAGTGGAAGAGACTACCTGATTTGCCTTCTGTCCTAGACCCATCAAAAAGTTGTCTGGCTTTATGTCACGGTGAAGAAAACCCCTTGAATGCATATATTCAACTCTGTTTATCTGAATGAAACAATGAAAAAGGCACAACCATTATTACAATAATGTTTGCTCAAACTCCTCATGATGAATGTGAAATGCAATGCAGCATACTTACCAACTGATCTGCAAGCATTAAAACTGTTTTCAGTGTCAACTTCCGATTGCAATAATTAAACAAGTCTTCCAAACTGGGTCCAAGAAGGTCAATGACCATAGCATTGTATTCCCCTTCAACACCAAACCATTTCAGGTGGGGAACACCAGCTGCATTATATTGATAAGAATGTATCATAAATTCTTAGATGTGACATATATGCCATAAAGCATGCAACTTTTTGATGTAATATATCAAAAAGCCCACCAACAAAAACTTGTAAAGTATAATAAAGACAACACACAGCAAGATGAAACGAAACTCACTTCCTCCTTGAAGAAGCATGTACAATTTGGACTCATAATGAAGTTGGGGGTGCTTGGTCTTGATAGATTCCTGGAAGCATAGACAATTTGGGACACAAAACATCAAATCTAGTTCTTTCATGGTACTTTCCTAGCAGCTTTTTCATACACAGAATTACATTTTTTGGTGAAGCCTTCTCCGGAAGCACAAAAGTAAGCATAAAAATTATATTCTGAACAAGTAGAGAGAAACACTTGGGTTGAACTTTATGCAATCAACCTCCTGAAAATACCATCTGAAAATGGAATAAAAGAAAATTCCATTCTCTTTGTAAAAAGTCGATCTTTGCCTTTAATTTTCACAAAATAAAAAAATTCTCAAGCATCTAAAATCCAATTATATACTTCTTCATTAATTAGAGGCAAACTTCATACACACTAAGACTAGTTACAACTTACAAAAACAAATTTCCGTGCCTACATATCAATATTAGTAAAAAACAAGAATGTTCTTTATACATACAAATGCAATAGCCAATAAGCATATGTAATACTACGATGTAACCATAGGTAGTAACAGATTTATAGCAATAAGAATATCAATATTTCCAAGAACAAGTTCATGCTACATGGTTTGCACTCTTCAGTTCAATATGAAGCAAGTGCAGTAAAGTCAAGACAAATTGACAAAAATTGTTAAAGATAAGGCATCCTGGGCCTAATGCACTAGAAGCTTAGACTTTTTTTCATTTCATCATCTGATTCATTTTTCGCCTCATAAGATTTTGAATTCCAAAATATATGAAATGGACTTTTGTGATTGCTACAATATCTCCTAGAAAACCTTGATGTCGAATGGAAGCGGTTGACTTCACATCATGATGTGTAAAAGCAAATAAAAATTAGCTTCTATCTAAAGTGCAAGGACACCTTTTAGTATGTATATTGAAGTGGGTTTAATTTGCTGGTCATAGCAGACCAAATGTTCCTTTGTATTCTAAATATTTAGCATTACCTCTCTGCTGTTCCAGAACACACATAATGAGTTGCTCTGATATTTTAGAGACAAATGAAATGATTATACCAATATTTCTGCTATGAACGGAAATAACAGATTTTTTTGAGAAGGGGTGTTGCTAACAAATCTATCAGAACATAAATGGCAGGGGGGAAGTGAACAATAAACACAACTACACAAAAATCAGATACTGAATTTAAATAAAAATCGTACACTACTTTATTACAAGAAACTCTGAGGTATATATGTAAATAAAATTATCAAGAACCAGAAATAGCATATACATAAACTAAATCCCAATGCCCCATAACATACCAGCTTCACAGCAACTTCTTCTCCACTTTGTACATTTACTCCTGAAAAACAGTTATGAAGGCAACCAAATCATGAAAAAGTGGACAATAAGAAGAGCATCAACGTGAAATCATGCTGATAAAAAGTTACCCAAATAAAGCTCTCCAAATGATCCACTACCAATCTTCCTCCCGAGCTTAAACTTTCCACCAATCACATGATCCATGATTAAATCCCAACCAAATAAACCCAAATAATTATCTTCCGTTCTTCAATTGTTTTGACAAAATTCACCGACTCAAAAAGCTAAAATCTACAAAATCCACCAGATCCACCTAAATCCACAGCAAGTATTCGCCAAAACAAAAGTCTCCACAGCCCTAATTTCCAAAATCTATAAACAAAGTTTGATATGAAAATGTTCGGAGAATAATGAGGATGTATTCTAGCGATGCGAAAAAGTTCAAAGCTAACAAGGAAGCTTTGGGTACCGATTTTATGATATACAGATGAACAAAAACAATGAATCAGTATAAAACCCTAGAACCTACATCATCGAGATAGTAAAAATGGTGTAGTCAAAAATCAAATCAAAATATGATTTTTGAAACACATTAATGTAAGACTCGATGATGATGATGATGATATATTTATATGTATATACACGATTGTGTGTTACGGACGAATGAGGCAAAGGGTTAAAAGGAAGTGAAGATTGAGAGAGATTTTTGAAGTCAGATCGGACGAGATGAATCTTAAAACACGAAATCGACGGGGAAATCCTTTTTAGGGGTTAGATTCCAAAGGATCTGTGCAAGAACGAAAGAATTGAAGCAGACGCCGAGTCTTTTTTGGGAAAAGTGGTTTTCAAGAAAAGGGGGATAAGAGGGACGGTAAGTGATTAATCTCCTCTCTTTTTATCTTTACGATGCCCATCTAGATTTTAACATAATATTAGTTGTCTTTTGTTTTTAATAGCTACTAAAATCTGAATTCTGATTTGACTTTTGATCTATAAGAGATGGTGTTGAAGTCTGAAATCTAAGTTAGTCAGACGGTTTATTTTTACGTCTTAAATCTGAATTAGTCAGACGGTTTACTTTTACGTCTGAAGTCTGAGCATGAGAGCATTTTTCACATGCAAATATTCATATTAACACAGCAAAACAGAACTAAGAAGAAAGAAAAGAAGTAACAATGAAATATTCAATTTGGCTACTATCCTATCAACCATAAAAACCAACTATGCATTCAGAGGGATAAGAGCAGGAGCAAAAATAACCTACAAGTGAAGAGTCTGTCTTCAAATTGCACTTCCTTTATCAAGAAATCAACTTATTGTTGCCTTCTATTGATTGATACGCTTCTTGTTCACATATCTAAAGTTAAATGTTAAGGGTAAACAAGGAGTAATGCCATTAACACCAACAATGGCATTGCTTCTCAGAGATCTAAAAGGAGGTGACTTTACAAGAAGTTGTTGTATGCCAAGTAAATAAAAAAATACAAATTTGATAATTAAGTAATGAAGGATATTGGTTCATCAAATATGTCTTACCAACCCTGCATCACCCACAAATAACACTCTGGTAAGCAAAACAAAGGATAAAATTAAGCAAAATTCTCGCTATTAACAGACTGTCTCCATACTTGACAAAACGAAGTTCCATACAAGGTATTGAAACCAATTTATGGGAATTAAGGTAATATAAACTCAAATTTGTGATACTTTCAAAATACAAAATTTTATCAAATTGTTTCTCCAAGAGCAAGCAATTATTATAAACACTCATATGAAAGAGAACCAAACACACGGATTTGTAGTACTTCGAACTGTATATGTTGGGTCTAAAATGTTGTATTCAAGTCCTCAAGATTATTGTGTTTTAGCATGCTTTGTAGTATAGTTTATTCCTTGTAAATGTAGGTATAAATAGCGGTAGTTTTGTTAGTTGGTGGTTAACAACAGTTGAGACTAATAGAGTGCATAATCAGTTGAGAGAATTCTGTGTATGTGAGATTTTGAAAGAGATTAAGAACACATTGTATAATTGATAACTCTTATTTTTAAGAGTTATTTCCTTTTTATTTACTCCCTTTTTGCTTTTATTAAATGCCCAATTTTGTTGTTTTTCCCTTTT